CACGATTTCATCAAGGTCACATTGCGTGCACCATCCGGGACGGGGCGGGGAGGGGATCACAGGAAACGAAGGAAGGACAGAGAGAGAGAGGAGTAAAGGAAAGACATCAACAGTGCAACTCCATAAGTTCGCCACCTACGATAAAACAAATTTTTTCCTACAGTGTGCGATAAATCAAACACAGACACACACACACCAGTAAAAGTGTGCACAACGAGTATAAGGAAATGAGGTTCGTTCCTTTGGGTTCCCTCAAACAGGCCGCTTGATTGCGAGACGGACATGATGTACGATGAACAGCACAACAGTTAGCTCACCATTGACCATCCAACCGGAGCCGACTACGTGACAGACCGATTGCTTTTCAACTATTTCCCAACTTATTTCCCAACAGGACGAAAACATCACACGAAAAGATAATGTACACATATGCCTCAGAAAGTGAGAACGACCCTCACAAAGAGATGGTGGAGTGCCAAACGGATTCCAATGAGCAGTCCGATTGCGGCTGCACTACTAATGTTGTACTACAATTCGGCGTGGCCCCAATGTCCGAGGCAGAAAACAGGGAAAGAATTTAGCTCTCGCCATAGGGAGTAAAACGAACGGAGAGACAATTAACAACAGATCAGTTCAGCTCAGTTTTCACAACTACTGACCATGGACCTGTTTTGATTACTGTCTTTTGGCTGCCCATTTGAATGCAAAGGGCGGAGGGAAGAATGGAAGAATGTGTCGAGCAGCGTCAAAGAAAGGCGATAGAGAACTCACATGAACTAACGTTGGAAGAATAATGAGTAGATGCACGAGCGCCACAGTTTATGAAACACAGTCATAGCACTTAGTCTCTCTAAACACCGGTTGCCATGATCCCGGGATCTCCATCGGAGAGCCTAAGGCAAATCATGTGAGCAAATCTCCCGAACGGACTTTTCATACACTCACGCCAGGTCTGAGTTTGAGTACCCTTTAATTTTTTTCTACCCAACACAGGAAGCAGTCCGCAAATAAACAACAGGATCTTCCAAACGCATATCTGAATCTGCACTGCACTGCGTACTTCGCGGTAGCCAACACCGACGAAGAGCTTTTTCTTCGCCAAACCTTAGCGAAACCTTTGACTCAAAAGTCTGACCTACAAGGAACAGGAAACTTATGGGTTTTTCTTGCTGAATCCTAGCGGGAGCCTTCTACTCAAACATTTGA